CTTTAGAATATCGATACAGTATCAGGAAATGAAATATCGCAATATTTCAGTGTATCGATATTTTCTTACACCCCTAAAAGGTACCCATCCCTAAGTTTTAGAGCAGCCAGCAGCAGAAGAAGTCATTGTTTTGGTTCTGATAAAACTCAGGTTCATACATACAGACAGCAACTCTGAGCAATAAGAGGTTTTTAGAGCTGAAGATAAATCTTTTTCAATGAGAATCCACTTAGTTCTCTGTGCAATTAAGGCTTTCAATTTTTGATCAAATTTTTCTTACTAAATGGMGATCCGGACATGATTGGTTGACCTTGAGTAGCAGAGAACCATTTCATATTTTGCGTTTTAGAGAGAAATTTCTTACAAACTGAGGAGAACACAACCACAGACTATCAACTTTTATCCGCTAATATTTCAGGTGCCGAAGGAAATTTAGTGACAGATTAACTGAACTTTAGATATTTTACACTTAGAAAAGCAGTTTTATTTAATAACACTTTTAAATGTTACAAAACCATGTCATATTTTCTAACTTTAGGATGTTTGTGAGGTTTTCTAGACGTGTGTTAGAGTCAGGGCTCCAGAAGTGCTCAGCTCTAGACTCACCAGCTCACTGGCCATGATCAGGACACCTGCCAGGTAATCCTCCACATCCAGGTGGAAGCCCTTCTCTCGCACAACCTCAACTGACACAACGAGACAAAATGAACAACTAGATATAAGACTTTTTTCTTCACAGAAWGGTTAAACTGGTACCTACTCCCAAGTATCCGAGCTACCTCCTCCCGAGTGACCAGAGCTTCACTTTCCAGGTAAACGACGAAGGCTGCCAGGAAGGCCAAACGCTGCAGGACGAAGCGCCAGTGTTCATGAAACCTGAAGGCATGAYGATCAAATAAAAAGAAGCAGTGGTGCTAAATCTGCAGTCACAAATCAAACTGCAGTAACTGGAGGAAATCACTACCTGTAATACTGCTCCACAGGAAATTTGGTCTTCAGATCAGATATGTGTGTCCTCACGGTGCAGAACAGCTCCCGTGCCTTTTCACATTTACTGGGAACTAAAAGGGGTTAAAAAAAATCAGTTTACTTGTTCAAAAAAAGTCACGCATTATATTATAGGGATGTTGACATTTCGTCAGCAGCTGCTGCCATTTTCCTCCCAAACTGCTGTGACCAGACTTTGCCAGGCTGCTTCATTATTTCTACGAGTTTCAACAAAGCACGCTGACGTCAGGTAGTTAGCTACAGCCTCGTCTTCCAGTTTTTTATTTTTGTCCATGCATTTTGAAGAGACATTTTTTTGAAAATAGGATCAAAAGTAAATCAACGAGTTTTTCTAATGAACCTTAAATAGGTAAGCTGCCATGAAGAACATTATTTTATCTGCCCTTGTTCCAAATTTGATAATYATTTGAAATGTCGAAGTATGTTGCAAAGTGTGTTGACGCTCGTCTTCATCACTTGACACATTTAACACGCTGTCACTGGTTGAGGAGCTTTGTTTACAAAAACATGTCCACATGGTTTTAGAGTASTTTTAATTTCCTTACTTTCTAAAGCAGAGGTTCTTAACCCATGGGCAGCGGCCCAATTGTGGGCCGTGAGCGCCACCTTGAGGGCCTCAGAAGAACAACAGTTTTTAACTT